GTTGTCAATCAGCTGGCCTCCAGGTAGGGAGACTACCTGGGTGGGACCCATGTCATCACAAGGGTTCTTAAATGTGGAAGAGGTAGGAGAAGCATTGGCGTCAGAGCAGTGTACGGACTCAACCAGCCATTGCTGGCTTTGAAGATGGAGGAAGGGGTCAAAAGCCAAAGCACGTGGGCGGCCTCGACAAGCTGGAAAAAGCAAAGAAATGGACCCTCCCTTAGAGCTTTCAGAAAGGAGCTCAGCCCTGCCCACACCTTGATTTTAGCCCGGTGACACCGATTTTGGAGTTTTGACCTCTAGAATTGTAAGATAGCACACTCGCATTGTTTTAAGCCACGAAGTTTGTGCTAATTTGTTACAGCAGCCACAGGAGACTAATACGCCCCCGAAGTCCCCAACCAGCAGAGTGTGTCCTGACAGCCACGTTTGAACCATATGACTGGATGCTTAGCCATAGCTGATTGGACCAGGGGTAGATGTCTGTACCCAGATGGGCCTTTTTTTTTTTTTCTGCATGCTCAGAATCTGGGCTTGGAATTGATACAGCTGTGACTAGTAGCTTAGCATATAAACTCAGGAGTTGACAGTGGCCCATGTTTGGCCACGTGAACGAAAAGCAGAGAAAGACAGTTTGCAAAGATAATTATATTGAGGAAGAGAGAGGCAGAGAGAGACGGAGAAAGGTCTGGTAGCATTCTAGTTTTAGTCCCCTCTGAGGTGAACTACAAGTCCACAGAAGAGATGCCTCACCCACTCACTGCCTCCCACTGACCTTTGCAAAAGAGCCAATGTCCTCAGCTCAGAAACACTGAGAGCTCAGCTCCAGCCAACTGAAAAATGCAGACTGGTGGCTGTTGCTCAACAACCAGATGACTAATACTGGTTCCATGGGGAGGGGGAAAGGGTTTTTAGGAGGGAATCCCTGCTCATCAGGAGTGGTTAATAGGTAGTTCTCCATTTCGCAGACATTTTTCAGATGAGGCTCAGAGAGGTGAAGTAACTTGCTTAAAGTCACACAGCTAGTGCGTAGGGAAGCTGAAATCCAAACCAGTCTTTCAGTTTCCAAATCTCATGTATTTTTTGTTTGTTCCTTTGCTTTCCCTATTTCTCATCCTCAGGTAACTGCTTCCTGGAATTCTTTTTTTTTTTTAATAGAAAGAGCTCAGAGGTCTAATAAATGTCTGTTATGTGCCCTACAGCAATTTCTTAGGTATCACTACACTCACATTGCACTACACTACATCACAACACTACCATTGAGGTCTGGGCCTTACAGGGTCCACAAGCTACAGGTCAGATGTGGACAAGGGCTAACAGAGCAGTAGTTCCCCAAGCTGTCTTCTGATGGTTTTACTAACCAATGTCCACATCTGGGTGGCACCTGGGGAGTGTCGGCCAGCAGCCACTGGCTATTCAGCAGCCCTCGGACCTCTATCTCTGCCTGATGTCAGGGCTTGCAATTCCCACCCAGTAATGACAGTAAGTGAAGTACACATCCAACAGTCCTGTTTTGGCAGATATCTGGATATGGGTTTATCTAATTATGCTGCAATAACAACCAACCACAA